ATGTTATTGAGTCCTGGATTGTCCTAAGGAAAACCTAGGACTCCTAGCCAATAGAGAAAAACCTGCAATCTTTGTCAAATTATGCAGGAGAAAACCCTTTATTCAAATGAAAATGTCTTATCCTGTACTGTGTAAAAACTCAAAGAGGAGAACGATCAAATCAGGATAGGAATCACCGAGGAGAGAATGGAGAGTGAATGGAAGCTGATTAGTGTTGGTGTAATTGATAAGCGGCTGCCTTGATCGTTGATATACCGGACACACGAGGAGGAAGTGATTTATTGTGAAAGGGATGCCGCAGCGATGACACAGCGGAGGAGTTCGTTCGAAAAGCTGGCAGTGGGTGATTTTGGTGAAACCGATACACAGTCAAGCAAGCAGCATTTCCTTCAGGCGATTATCTTGATTACTTGTCGGCCAGTACTGAAGTGTGGGTCTGATTGGGTGAAGGTGGTGATGAGCGCGTTGATGCCTTTCGAATTGGAGAAAGAGACGGAAATGTAAATTGATAGCTGCTAGAACATCAGAAACGGGACAATGAAGATGATTACGTTCCGGAAGCATGAGACTTCGTTTTGCTTCTTCGTCAGCAGTGCTGTTTCCTTGAATATTTGCGTGTCCAGGTATCCAGAGAAATATTGCGTGAGTTTGTTGAGGAAGGGAGCAGAGCGTTCGTCGTATGCCGTTTAAAGTTGGGTGGGGTGAATTGTGGAGAGTGATGAGAGATTGTAACGACGAGTGAGAGTCGGTGCATATGACTGCTCTTTGTAGATTACCTTGCTTGATGTAGAGCAGGGCTACCAAGATTGCTGTTAGTTCAGCCGTGTGCACAGTATTGTAATTTGACAGGCGGTTTGATTTGTGATAATTATGATGTACGAAGGCAGCTCCTGTGCGACCATCGCGTCGGGAGCCGTCAGTATAAACAAACGTGTGCCGGTCATATTCTCCTCTGAACACAGCGAAGAGTGCATGCACTTCGGTTTCTGATACGCTTCGTTTTTTGTGTTTAAACAGAAAGACTACGTTAGGTATAGGGTCGCCCCAACAGGGTCGGGGACTGGGAGTTGGGTTGCAGGGAATGTCAGGGACATTAAGCGCTCGCTGCGCTCGAATAACACGAGTGCTGATGGTTGGATGCTGGAGTTCCGCGTCGTTAAGTGTGCGGCTGGGGCGGAGGTGTGCGAGGGCGTTGTATGTGAGATTACCAACGTGCGCTGTGCCGAGTGCGTAAAATCTGAGAAGTTGTGATTTTTGTCGGTGCGACAGGGAGGGGATACTCGTGTCCGCGAGCAGATCTGAGACCGGGGAGGTGCGAAGTGCACCCTTCACTATGCGGAGGGCTGCGTTTTGGATGGTCTACAGGGTTTCGACTTTTTTCGAAGAAGTATCATAAAAAAGAAAGCCATTGTAGTCCAAGATCGGGCGTATCAGGGAGGTAAAGAGGCAGAGGAGAGTGCGTCTGTCGGCGCCCCACTCCCGCCCTGCTATGCATTTCATTATGTTCAATCGTCTGACGCATCGTTGCTTAAGATCAGCAAAACGAGCATTGAAAGTAAGACGACGACATAATGTTGTTCCAAAGTATTTAAAACTGTCAACTAGAGGGATTATTTCACCATTAAGATCCAGGGGATGAGAGGTTGAGCAATATTTCGCCTAGAGAAGGTAATTACAGCTGACTTTGTGGGTGAAATCTGCAGTCCCCACCGTGCACACCAGGCGTGAATATCATTAAAAGCTAATTGTATATAATGCAGTACGCGATCGACATTAGCATGCGTGTGCCACACAGCCAGGTCGTCCGCGTTTAAAGAATACTGAAAATGTGGAGAAATATTAATATCATTGAAAACATCATTTATCATCACAAGGAAGACGGTTGGAGATAAGACACTGCCCTGAGGAAGACCGTGATCCTGCGTCGTCGGAGAAGAATAAGTATTTCCGCAACGCACAGAAAACGTCCTATCTGTTGGGAAGTTTTAAAAGCGGCGAGCCGGCCAGGAACTCCGATTTCATGTAGTTTAATAAGGAGGGCACTTATATTCACCCGGTCGAAAGCGGCCTTTAAATCCACGAACAGTGCTACCGTAGTAGATTAAGTAGAAGTGGTATAGTAGTATAGTAGATTAAGTCTGATATCCGAGCTGAATTGAATCTATAATGCGGACCAGGCTGTCCGCCGTGGAGCGGCCGGGACGAAAGCCGTTCTGAAAAGGTGAAAAAGGTGACTTGACTCAGGGAACATCATGATACGTCCGTTGACTATTCGTTCGAATACTTTAGAAGCACAGCTAGTAAGAGAGATGGGGCGATAGCTCGAAGGGTCAGAGGGAGGCTTAGAAAAGCGTGTCCGATTGAACATTGTGTGTAGAGTGGTGCTATGCGTGGTGTTAAGGCTAGATCTATAACAGAGTATGTCAATGTGCATCCGTGATGTGCATGCGTAGGTGTCAGTTCGTTGATACATATGAGGTCATGAGTGTCCATGAGTGTGTGTAAAACCCTCTCCCTTGCTTATGTCGTGCTGAAACCCCATGCGCGATGATGGGCGTTCAGATCCCCGAGAAGGAGACAGGGCGAGGGAATTTGTGCGAGTAAGGCGGAGAGATCAGCCGAGGAGACAGGGCTAGTGGGGATAATGTATATAGAAAGAAGAGTAAGATCTAACTGTGCTAATTTTGCCTTTATTGCAACTGAATTGAAATGAGTATCAAAATGAACTTGATGCAAAAGGTTATTTGAGACAAACAAGGCCGAACCGCCTCAGCGCGGGTTTTCGTTTACGTTATGTGTGTAGAGGCAATAATCACTGATCTTAAAGCATAATTAATAGAATCTGAGTCGCTAAATAAGGTCTCTTGAACGGCGGCTATCAATGGTCTGTTTTTGATCATATATTCCTTGAATTCTGCCCAATGGGATAGCAGGGATCTCGTATTCCATTGGAGCGAGAATTCATCGAACTGGGGATTCATTTAGGGCAGGGAGGAAGACCATCCAGCGGAGCGGCAGTAAGAGAGCGATCGAGGGACGCGACAGCGGGAGCGCGTAACGGGTCGGGCTCGGCGTTCGACTGAGGGACTGGCCCGGAGGGTTGGCGTCGGGAGCGAGGCGGCTGAGGCATCGAATGGGGCTTCTTGGGACGCCGGCACGGGTGGAGTGGACTAACAGCGACGTGTTGGGGTGGGAGAGAGGCTCTCTGAGTTTGGTGGGGCGGGTTCTTGCTCAGCGAGGCTCGCAGTCGCCGGGTTCGCTGTGACTGGGTCGGCTGGCGCGGGCTCGATTGTACGCAGCACTGGACGCGGCTGATCTGCTGGGGAGGGGCGACGTGCTGAGGATGAGCGTTGCGCTGAGGCACAACGCTGGCTCGATACCTCAGGCTCCTGAACAGGACGCGGAGGAGGAAGGGGGCGCCGCCGCGAAGCTGGTGTTAGAGAGGAATAATGAGGGTACGCCTCCCGCGGCGTGGGCCACTCCTGAGGCTGGAGCACTCGGACCGGTGCATAGGCCGCTACCGCTGCCTGCTGCTGGCGCTCGCGCTGCCTGCTGCTGGCGCTCGCGACCATGAGGTATCCGAAGGGAATGACACGTGGGAGCTTTAGTCCCCTAAATCGCAGGCTGACGAGTGGGTTGGGGCCCAGGCCGGGACGGCGGGAGGGCAGGCGCATAACCTCGCACACCCCCTGCCCGGTCAGCTCCTCTAGTAGATCGTCGTCCGACAGCTCGGTGAGCTCCGGCTGTAATTTGAGCAGGGCCTGACGCTCCGAAAAAACCCTAACTAGCAGGGCTCCCGAGCGCAGTGGTCTGGCTCCATCCACCTCGCTGGTGTGGAGCTCGAGCTCCCGACGGATGGCAAAAGGGTTTATCGTGCGGAAACTTTTACCGTCGACGTTTCTGACGAGCGCGAAGCTCGGCCCCTCCGGAAGGGGGGGGGGGAGTGGAGGGGGTAAACAAGCCCCTCGCCGGGCCGGTCGCCGGAGAGGAGATGTTGATGGCATCTTGGGTCTTAAACTTAACTTAAATTAACTTATGGACTAGTTGTTACAACGACTTAAAACTAAATAGCAGAATTCCGACACATATTAAGCTGTTGTCAGCACAAGTGCGGATTAGCTACCTGCCCCGTCGTCCTCACAGCGGCTGGCAGGTGGCAGCACTTCCTGGCGGCGGGAAGAGGCGGAGTTAAATTATGGCGTGAGCACGGGACGCTGAAGAAATACACTAATTACTGTTTTGAAATTAAGATAGGCGAGACGGAATACAGTGAGCGCTACCAGGGCAATGTGTGGTAGAATCTTAACAATTACACCAATACCACATTGCCCCACAATGAAAGAAAACTGGCGTAGAAACGGAGCAATCTGAAACACGACCGCCGCGAATCACGCAGCAAACCGGAGGCTGGCTGTTTACGCGAACTATCGCTGGAAAAACGTCAATAGTACGCCGTATTTTAGTCATTCTCAAATGTTCCCAGTAATATCACCAGTATTGATATTTTTACAAAGCCATTGAAATCCTCCTGAGTCTAGAGGACATTGGAAGACTCTAGCCGCACCCCTCCGTTCAGTATCTATTCGGACTAAACGCTGCCACTTTTAGTATGAATCGGTACTAAACGCCGTGCCCCTCTTATAAAGAATACGTACTAAATATTCTCGAAGATGTGCTGGACGCTTCTGCCGTGAGCTGAACCAGTGCAGTTTTATGCCGCCGGAGCACCATAGTTGTAACATTGCCAGATTTGGTGAAAGGTTTAGGCTATCAAGAACCCTAAGTTAGATATTTTCCATAGTAGGTTATAATGGTTGACTAGATATTGTGTGTTTACCAATTTTAATTTAATGACAGTTTTGCACGAATCATTGTTAAAAAAGCGCATAAACCCGCTGTACCGGTGCCAATTTCAAATCTAGTATATTCTGGCATTATCCTGTCGCCCAACCTGTTGTTATAGAGCCTTGGCTCCATCCACAGCCGCGTCGTCGGTGCGG